CTGGAGCTACTAGTAACATTGATCACTAATTCAGTAATTGTGTAAGTGCATAAAGGGTGATTTGCACATTGTGTGTAGTGTTGATTGTACTTGATATTTTATAAAGGAAATATGCGATGCATGAATTGAAATTTAGGAAAGATATTGACAAAAAAACATTGAATTATTTTAGTCTATCTATCCTTCTCCTATGGCTATTACATACATTATAGTACTGGAAATTTGTATTGAGCATTGTATCTAGCATATTGTAAATTTTGTGCAAGCTAAGAGGACTGTGTGAGTGAGTGTCTAAATCTTGAAATTAAAAAAAATCCAAGTAAACAGACCTTTTTCATAATCATAGTTGTTTGTTTTCAAAGAAACATACAATGAAAGAGTTCAAATTTCTCCCCTCAAGTCGCCTCAAACTGTCCCATTTCAACTTCAAATTTTCAAAGGCTTCACGGCTGCACTGGATTTGGTATCTCGCTTTGTGAGAAAAGGTGATCACTGACAAAATTACGTATACCTTATGTGTTACCTGAGTTTCCCACCTGCCCTGGCCCCCTAATGCGTCCACAAATAAAGGGGAGTCCGAGTCGACTTCGGCCAAGGCTGCCCAGCTTGACTTTTTTCCGTGCGCCCAGTTTTACCGATGGAATTTGAGAGTGGAGCGCCGAAGGCGCTCGCAATCTTAGGGGGTCCGAGGGTTTTTAAGATTTAGGATTTTTAAATGTAGGAAATTTAGGATTTTTAAGCCATCAAAAACGCAATTTCCCGCATTTTTGTTTTTGTTTTGCAATTTTTGAGAGGCAAATCATGGTGTTGAGAGTGTTTTTCGGGCCTTCTGATGTTTTCATATTTTTACTCAAGATTTTTGTTAAATTTGTCTGTCAAGGTTCAATCAATCCTCCGCAGGCGTCAAGGTTGACAGACAAAATTCTGTAACGCTCCGCAAACTTCCGGTAATTGACAGAAAACTGGTTCTGGCTAGAGCTGAAGGGGACTGAGCGCAGAAGCGCGAGTCGAGTGCCAAAGGCACGAGCAATGTAGGAGGGTCCGGGGGCATTCTCCCCCGGGAAATTTTGTATTTTTGAACCTTCAATGACGCATTTTCCTGCACTTTGATATGCAAAATTAGGCGTAACGAAGAATTATTCATCAACGCTCTAACGCTGAATTTAGGATGACAAATAACGTTTTACGTTGAATTAAAACTACCAATAAATAACGCTTCACGATGAATATACTGATAACGCTTAACGATGAATTAGAGCAGGCCGGTAACGATTAACGGTAAATTAAAATAGCCCATAACGGTTAACGAAAAAGGGCATGCAGGCCCTCTTGCTTGCCTTGCTAGGCCTGGTAGTGTGAGACATTGACTAGCGGTTACATGGAACAGTTTTACAGAACGCATGTCTAATAGACTTACAAAATATTTCCCACAATCAAAAGCTATATTACTATACACACAACTGCAAAGTTAATTTAGCTTTGAGTATGAAAATTTCAAGTTACAAATATAGATAATATTATGCCAAGAAAGTTACAACTTACAGGGCTGATTTCAAAGCTGACATTGGAGCCTACAATTGGATTTTTAAAAAAAACTGAAGTTGCAGATACCAAAGTCTTGATAATGTCACTTTCTTATAATCATCTGGACCATTCTGTATGGTTTACATTGAAAATCTTGAAAGAAAAACTTTTAAATCTTTTGACCAGTATTATGCTAATAAGCTACTGGTCTAGGCCCCTGCTGTTTGTTTATGGTTATTGGGGGCAATTTACCATTCAAACTGCAGATCACTGGTCACAGTGGGTAGTACTTCCTTATTGCTAGGTTTTTATGGTTATGGCTGTTCCCAGGGCCGTTGTGAGCGAAGAAACCTAAACCCCCCCGAAGCGTGGTAATTGAGGCCTGGTTGGCGGGCCCAGACGCTCTCTGTGCCGAAGGGATAGCGCTGAGCTCACGGCGGTCTGGTTACCAGGCTATAATGGTAAAGGCCGGGGCCGAAAAAATACCGCCAAGCCGACCAAAGGTTTGGTACCCAGGCTAGGCCGACACGCGATCGGGCCCGCCACCGACGGGGCGAAAGTGACATGGGGCGAGTCGACCTGTACCCGGCGGGCTAGGTCACCTGTCTGCCCGTGCGCTGACTGTTCATCAGCGGTATTAAAAATATTAACTTGCCGAACACCGAAGAGAAAATCAAAATATAGTCACAAGGCTTTGGTAGCAAGTAAAGTAGTATTCAGATGCAGGATACTAGTATATGCTTACATCAGCTAAATAAGACATAGCGCTCTGGACACCCTAACATCTACCATGGGGCGAAGTCGTGACAGAAAGCCAGGAGATCACAAGATGTAGACCGAGAAAGGTCCTTGATGTAGACCTATTAATTTGACTTGAGTATGTCATATGGTATTTCTGCGAAGTAAATAGAATTTAGAAGGAAAGAAAAGGGAAAAGGTACTTACTCAGTATGTCCATCATCAAGAGTGACCTTCAGCATAGCCCCCTGGCACGTGGCTGGTTGTGTCACCACTCCAACACATTCCACCTTGAAGTTTGTCCTCTTCGCGAACCCTTTCTTCCCGGATCGCGTTTCCAAGTAACCAATAACACCGCCCTGCTCAACTAACTTGGAGTCCCAGACAGATAACTCCTCGCCGCCGTTGTGGTCCGTTCCACCGCCCGTTTGCCCTCCGGCAGGGGCCATAGCGGGTCTTTTACTGGGACGTTAGATCGAATATGACGTTAAATCGAAGACAGCGCGTGAGTACCCAGATACTGACGGTATCTGAGCATGAGACGATCTGAACTGAAATTTAAACAATCAGACAGCCCATATTGTGGTTGCCCCAAAAATTTGCATGGCGACAGCAAAAAGTTGTCAAATCAATGAATAAAGTAGTACAAAGCAGTCACATAGTCGGGTCCATTGATTTGTTTTTTTTTGCAGAAAGGCGACAAGTGCCAATGATAATGAAAACTGTCAACTTGTAGCCAGCCCAGTAGACCAATAAATCACTTCTTCTGCGGCTCCCATTGTAAACAATGCCTATTGTTGGGAGAATATAGGAAAAAGCGGCATGACAAACTCATAGCAGCAAGTTATAGACCTCTAGACTATCTATCAGCTATCTAGTTTGTCGGATCTTCTGAGAAAAATCGGTTCTTTGACAGAAACTCCTAAATCGCACCAAGGACATTATACCTTTGATCGCACCAGGATGCGAAAAACAAGACCCCGCCGTATTTACCACCTATCTAGTTTGGCGGATCTTCAGAGAAAAATCTGGCTGGACTCTAATTATAAAGACAAAACAGCAGACAACCTGGAATCCCTCACCCCCAAAACTATGGCATTGTCAAAGTCGGTAAAACAGTAACCAGGTTTAACACGTACAGGGCCTCGAAAAGGTGTTAAAATTTACAGAGTAAAAGTCACTAGATCTATCATCAAACAAATTCAACTTCATATTTTCCGATGGAAGGCTTTTCGAGTTGCATGAGGAAAAAGGATCTCTAAGTTTTGCACAATCATATACTGTTCATTTCTCTCTTTGCTATATAAACTTCATTCTAATACAAAAAGCCATTCGTCCTTTATGCTACTTGAATTACAATATTTTCATAATCTTTATACCAGGAGGGTGGGGTATGTCTTCCTATTTTCAAACAGGAAGACATACCCGTCTGTGGCTGTTCATCGAGAACACTATCTGTACGCTACGTCTGCTTGGAGAATAAGCTATGTGTGCGTTTCTAAGGCCACACCAATTTAATTTGTTGGTTCTCGGATTCGCCTCTTCATTTCTTCCTGATTTGCAAAAAAAAAAAAATTCAGAATCAAATGCAAAATGCTCATATTTTGTCCTGAACAGTTTAGAACAGTCCTTTTCTTCCTAGTTGTTACAGTTATTCCATCTTTCAATGCAGTGGTATCATTAGAAGTTGTTCAAAGTTCATTGTTTAAATTTTGAACCAGCCTTTTGTGTTGACTTCATACCTCCTATCGTAGCATTTGGGGCTATAATAGGATGCCTAGATCTGTTTTTATTTTTATTTTTTTCGCCCTGTCGCTTCATATTTTTCCTGAAAAAATACGAGAACCAACAAATTAAATTGGTGTGGCCTAATTAGGCACAAATGCATTGTGTAAATATATTGCGTGTAACCGCATATTTCACAAAAATAACATAGCGTTCTCGCACAGCGTTGAACCGGTATACGGACATCATACACACACATGTGACCGGAGGGCGCACGTATATGTATATATATGATTGAAAGTCTATTCTAAAATAAGCTTACTGACTCTTAGCGAAATTACTATATATTTGAAACCGGTCTAAAAAGAGATATACCATTGATCAGGGGGGTTGGCCGACCATTAGAGTTCATATTGGCCCAAACGAGTCTTCCCTGATTATCAACGGAACAGTTTGAGATAAAATGTTCAGTTTATTGATCTTTTATTGGTCTATGTCTCCCAGCGCTTTTGACATATTGTAGTCACATAGGCAACGTCAGGTAAAGTATAACACATATGTGACAGACAAGCGTCTCTCTGTGACCACAGTGGGAGATATCTTTCAAACTGACACACATATACGTTAATTGAGGTGGCAATTCCTTTGAAATTCCTTTCTTCTTCCTATCTTCAAAGGCTGTAACATACTACTGACAGAACCTCTAGCTGTGATATCCCAGAAGGAATCAATTACGACATGTTTCTGTGACCGTCATATGGTGCCCACCTTGCTAGAATTCTGTATTGCTACATTTTCTCCCCACATACTTATACCATGGAGGTACATGTGCTAATGAAAGGTCCTTGCTTATATGAATGAATGAATGAATGATTAAATGAAGACCTTTATTGTACGAAAATACCCACTGGCTTCAGTACAAGTCACAGGAAAGACGTCACAGTTTGCAATGAATATATACAATGTACACACTAGCACTAATTCTATGTACTATGGACATATAGTCTAATAATTACGATAATTTGGCTTCTTCTCGCTTCTTAGTAATGATGTAGATATAAGTACAGATGTGTTTAATAATCGAAGGTTTGTCTAAAACCATCAGAAATATGAACTTATCTGTGTTGCTAAGATGTATGAAATGGGGAAACATACATTGCAATAGTTTATAAAGCTCTGCTCTCTCTTCGTTGTATAAACTACATTTTAATACAAAGTGTTCCTCATCCTCTATCCTATTTAGATTACAATACCTACATATTCGTTGTTCCAGGGGAGTGCGGTTATGGCGTCCGGTTTTAATGTGTAGTTTGTGGCAGCTTATCCTGAGTTTTGTAGTGGCGGTCCTATGCCGTATGTTGTCGAGATACTTTTCTCCATTATACCAAGGAGGTTTAACCTCCTTGATTATACGTAGTCTTGAACAGTCTGTAGGATCTCAATTTGTTTCTAGCAGCTCCGCCTTTGTTATCATTGTGTATTTCTTTTAGGAACGTTTGGAAATGGATGTCTTTCAGACGTTGGTTGATGGAATCAATAATATGGGACGTACTAGTATCTGTGTTTTGTGATAAAGTGGAATGCCAGATATAACCAAAACCGCACTCCTCTAAGGACTTCCGAACTCCTGAGGCCCAACATTTGGCTCCAGTTTTGTCTAAGGCTATCTGACAAGATAGAGCATCGAACTGGCAACTGTCGACAGGCACTTTCTAGCGAAGTCTGATGAGGTGTTTGATAGCATTTAGAGAGGCTTCTACTTGAATGGGAAACCTCCCTAGTTCCGCTCTTGCAGCGAGACCGCATGCCGATCTCGGAACGTGAAGGGCTTGCTTACAGAATTTTAGATGAATTGATTCTATAGGGCAGGAATTGGAACTTTTAGCTGAGCCCCTGATCTCCGACCCGTAAAGAATTACGGGCTTTACACAACTGTCAAAAAGTTTGTTCCTAACAGCTACAGGTGCGTCAGCTTTGTTTAGTGATTGGTTCATGCCGAATAAAGCTTTTAGTCCTTTACTGTGAAGATGTTTCTTATTCGCATTGAAAGTGCCCGCGGAGTTGACAACAATGCCTAAATAACAGTAAGATGTAGCTATTGTGGAAAAATGTCTGGCAGTCATTTTTGTTGATTAGCACTACCGGGCGAATTCGCCAACTCCGCCCCAACTTCTGTGGCCTGGCGCCGGGTACCACGTGCTGACGTGGAGGCTCCCCGCTCACATTGCCCAGCTCGGGTACTCTCCAAGCAGAGGTTTGGGTTTTGGGGGTATTTTTAACGTGTTTTTAGGCTTTTTTTATCGGGGTTTCTCTTTTGCACTGAATTTTT